CGGAGCGGCCGTTAGGGGGCGGATTTGTCGCGTGGGGCCCAGTGGTTGTTTGAACATATTACCCCTCCCCTTCAGCCATGTTACCTGCAGTGAAGTTGGAAACGTGAAGTCCTGTCCTGCCTTTTTTAAGCAATTCTGCCGTTTTCCCATGTAGAACTGTAACGCAGGCCTCGGTTCCTTTCTGCTTATTTCGAAAGTTGCTATTTTGCCACCTCGCAATAAATTTATTTTTCCTGTCCTGTTACAGTGATGTTGATGTTGATGTATTGTTGGGTGATGCTGCCTTCCTGCAGTATCATATCGTTTCATATCTGGTTTTTCATGCCTGCATTCCTTGCGGTGCTGTGTTTGTACTACACAATACAATTAAAATAAAACTCATCACTAGATCTGTAACTAGGTAATTAAGGGGTGAGACCAGTTAAATTGAGAAAAATGTGAAAAAATATGGAAAACTTAGCAGAGTGTTTCATCTGAGAATATACATATATTTTCATGGCTTGCATCCATTCGTGTTAAGCCTGGCTCCATTCCTCATGGTGGAAAAGCATGCTAAGAGGGAGGGAATCAGACTAAGTTAATGCATTTTTTTTCTCTTCCATATGTTTCTTTCTATTTTGGACATAGTTTGCTTGTTCACACTTGCTACGTAATTATTTGTATACTATTATATTTTAATAATAAGAGTATTAACATTCTTCATACATTAGATATAGTAGAAAAGAGCATCAGTTGTATAATTCTGCATTTTTATGTGAGCTTGTGTGGATTTTCTGTGTCATGATGCACTGAGCAAGGAACAGAGAAAGGAAAGAAAGTGTGGAAATGTAAATGGCTTTCCTTTTGGAAAATAGAAGTTATATGGCTCTTATTATGCCACTATTTTCTTCTTTTTCTAGGCAAATGAAAATGAGATCTGGAGAGGTCCTTATAGACTGCTTAGATTCTGTTGAAGATACCAAGGGAAACAATGGAGACAGAGGTAACCTTGCACTCAGGGAACTTGTAACCTTCCTAATATTTAGCCAGCTCAGGGTCATGAAGGCCCAGTCTGTTTTGAACTCATTGAACTCAGTATTGCTGCAGAACACACTCTTGCTTATTTTAGAGAACTTTCTTCTCTGGGGATCTTTTCAAGTAATACAACCTGTTGAAATTTTTTAATGAAGCGATAGTTTTGGCTCAGAATTTGTTCAGACTTCTAAGGAATCCAATTAAAAACATGGTGATCTTTTGCTGTAAGCCTGTCTGATGTTTAAACCCATCACCATATAGAAATTTGCATGTTGGCATGCAATAAATTCTTTCAATTTTGAAACATGAAAGGATTTTTTTTCAAGCTTTATGGCAGTCTTCTGTTGTTTTGACCCTTTTTTTAAGGGTCTTTAAGGCCCTTAGTTTTAAAATGAAACAGTAAGTGTGTACATACTCTCTAAGTGCATGAACTTCCTGAGGTGACATTTCCTCATGTTGGCTCTGCTGCTGTGTTGAGAAGCTCTGCACTTGACATATGCGGGTGAGGTTATTCATGAGGACAGCTGTGATAGCTCACTGCCTTCCCCTTCTCCTCCCACAGAGAGGTTCTGCACTAATTCTGTCTCTTCATTTTTATGATAGGTGGGTGGATATTAAATCAGTAGTGGTTTCTGATTTGTTTTGGAGGAATGCTGATACACACCAGAGACTTTTTTTTTCCTCTTCTGACCAGGCTTACTCTCCTACAGTATGAAAGAAAAAAAAAAAGTATATAGTGATTATTCTGCATTCTTCTTCTTAGCAAGGGAAAGAAATATTCTGGTGTTTCAAAACTGGAGTTAAATATATATATATATATATATGCACACACACACATACATACATATGTGTGCATATGTATATATAAACATAGTTTACATACTTGTATTATATTAAATAGATGATTAACTGCCATCAAATTAGAAATATTTTAACTCTTTATTTCCAGGTAGACTCCTTGTCACAAATTTACGCATTATTTGGCACTCCTTATCACTGCCTAGAGTCAATCTCTGTAAGTATTTTCTTCTCCTAAGTGGACTATAAATTTTGTGTTTCCTTTGCGATGCTGTGCAGTACTTTCACAGTACTGAATGGATTATAGTACAGACTACTGAAGTATGGAGCTGCTGCTTCTGTGAAATCTGAAATGAACTGTTACTAATGAATTTATCATTAATATAGGAACTGTTTTAATAATTCTTAAAAAAACTATTGGTATTTCATGTTGGTTGCTCATAAGAGAAGTTGACGAGTGTCAGACTTTTTTTTAGTGTATATGGAACTTTTTTTTTTCAAGAAAGAAAGAAAAGTTGGAGTATTTTTTTTTCACTTCTGGTCACACTTCTATATTTTGTTCATGTTCTGTACTGCTCAACAGTTTATTTTCTCTCATGAGTACCCATCCTCCCAAATTTACTATTATGAGCTCTGAATAAGCTTCTAATTTTAAATGATGTGAGCATCAAGTCTGTCTACTCATATTTAATTTAATTTAATTTGCTGAAGCAGGCCCAGGGTGCTTCAGTACCAGAATTATTTCCAGTGCTCAGTTCCTAATAGTCAGTCAAGACTGGCAATCTATATACTGTTCACAACCTATGTAAACTTACACAACCTGATAGCACACTCTTTTGCATTTTCTGTCTATCTCATGCACACATGCACAAGCACACACACATGTGCTATTTTATCTATACATACCTTTCTAGAACAGGTCCATGTGTCTAAGGATTGCGTCCAGGTGGCTTTTGAACATCTTCCAGGAAGGGGACTGCACAGCCTCTCTGGGGAACCTGCTTCAGTGCTCTGTTACCCATCTGCTTGCTTGAAAATACTCAAAACTCAACCAGATACTGGCCTGAGCAGCCTGGCTGAATTGGCCCTACAAGGCATTGGTCCAGAGGGCCTCAAAGGGTGGCTTCAGCTTAAATTAGTCTGTTTTTGTGACAAGGGTTCAGACTGCTAACTGTAACAAGGAATTCTGACAAACAGCTTCCAAAGGTGTGCTCCAAAGTACCATACTGTACTCTAAAATTCTGAGTATCTTTTTCTTCTTGCTATCATAACTGCTGTTTTTCTCTCCAAACTTTTAGCTGTTGGTTACAACTGCATTATTAATATAACTACAAGAACTGCCAACTCAGTAAGTTTCAAAAATCCTTTTTAAAATAGTAAAGAATTTGTATTTTATTATGCACATTTACTGCACTGTACTGTACTAATAATCTCAAAGTTTACTTTCAAGAACAGTAATAGAACGATTTTAGTTTATTTTTAAAAGCTGGGAGAATTTTACGTTTCTGGTTGCAGCCAGTTTCCTAAGGCAGTGAGACTCATGTAATCCCACTGTTTGGTGATACTTCTCTCGAGGTAACTCATGCATGTTTGGCTCATTTCATCTAAATTTAACGAGAGGTAGAGAAATGCTAAGTTTGTGCAAGAAAACTGCCAAATACACAGCCTGAGGTGTACGCAGTTATGAATAGTAGCAAAGCAGCAAAGAGGTAGTAAGGGTTTGGACATTTCCTCAGCAGCCGCATGGTGGCATATGTATTGCCTGGCTGCTCAGTGCCCTCACCATCCTGGACTAGCACAGTGCAAGGTCTCTTTTTACCTAGCAGAGCTTGTCTGGTGCATAAGGGACTTGACGTAGGGCAGGGTATTTGGGGAGCTGAAGTGGAATGGCAAGAGGCAAAGCCAGCAATACTACATTTTAGTCATGACATGCAAATGTGTAAGAGCCAGGCTTCAGTAGTTCTACTGCTGATGGAAGTGCTCATTCCTCCTTTAAAAAAAAAAAAAAGTGAAGCCTTGTTCAGATGAAGACAGCAGATGAATCAAGATTACAGCATCTGTTACTATACTAATAACAGGAATTTAAATAAAATGTTAAGATTATTCCACGTACAGTCAACTGTCTTGTCAAAATGTTATATCTGATTTTTTTTCCTTACAGAAATTACGAGGACAGACAGAAGCTCTGTATATCTTGACAAAGTGTAACAATACACGGTTTGAGTTCATATTTACCAATGTTGTTCCTGGGAGTCCTAGGCTCTTCACTTCCGTTATTGCTGTGCACAGGTATCAGACTTAAAATAGTGTCTATTTATTTACAAAATTGAGTGTCACATTTATAAGCAGAATGTGGGATTGCTACAGCTGATGGACCCAGTAAATAACTGTCCATATTTAACATCCGCACCAGCTTCTCAACAGAGAACACAATCTCTAGGAAGAGCAAAGAAAATGCTCACAAATTTTATTACAAAACTACATACCATAAAAATTCATGTACATCAATACTGGTTGATCATGAATCAAATCATTCACCATGTGTATGAGTAAACTGGGTGAATAAATCCAAGTACCACAGAGGTAATCTGTCTAATCATTTTGTGTAGTCGTGGATCGTGTTTTAAATAAATGGGTTAAATCATGGTCAAAGCTCCCACTGGCTTCAAAACAGTGGATGTTTCGCACTTAAATATGTGTTCAGCTTGTGTCACCTGGATGGATGTGTGCATAATACGTTATTTCTGTGTTTCACTTTAAGAACTGTGAAATACTGTCTTATATAGGTTACGTGTTTCTAACTTAACTTGAGGTGTAAAATAAATGATTTTTGATGTCCATGCTGTATAACATGGAATTTGGAAGATTTATGCTTTGCAATAGAGGCTGGGCGATGACCATTTTACGGAAAAGAAAGAGCATACCTGCGGGCAGTCCAGAAGATTAAAACCAATGTCAAAAAAACTACCTTAAAATAATGTCAGTAAGGAAAACTGACATATGATACAGTGATGAAGTTTTAACAATACAACATGGTATTAAGAAAATTTGGAAAAAAACATTTCCTATCGGTGCTAAAGCATTAACACATTAACACTGAAAAACGATAGAAAACACTGACATGATAACTGAAATTTCCATTTTTATAGAGCTTACGAAACTTCTAAAATGTATCGTGACCTGAAGCTTAGAAGTGCATTGATTCAAAACAAGCAACTGAGACTACTGCCACAAGAACAAATATATGATAAAATCAATGGAGTATGGAATTTATCAAGTGATCAGGTATAGTGAAAAATGAAACTACATTCACTTTAGCAAAGCTAAAATATTTTAGCCTTCTTTCCTATCAACTACACCACTACAGTTCTGTAATTACTCAGAGGAATTAACGCTTGATTCAGTTCATAAGCCTGGTACATGTGGAGAAGCTGGTCCCATATTGGTACTACTCAGTACAACAAAGTTCTCTTCTTGGCAACCTGAAGTCTGCGTGCCTCAGCTTACGTACAAGGAATTAGATATACACCTCCTGTTAAGAAGATAGATTTATGAGTCTAAATCTATATCATCCTGAAAGTGAATCATGCTGTTCCAAAATACTCTGCTGAATATTTGTATGTTTACTTGCGGCTTTGACCATATTGTAAGACTTATGTTGTCTTTTGATTACTGGAAACTGGAAATACTGGAATAAGAATCTCTGTCTTGAAAAAGTGGAAAAAGAGTTCAAAAAGAAAACAGAAAACATCTGTATTATTTTAGTTATTTATATTTTCCAGAGCCATGAAAACAAAATAGGAACTGTTATTTCTGTCAGGGCAATTTTAGTCCAGAATGGAAACAGGATCCATCTTGACAAGTTATAAAGTTCTTTCTTTTACATTCCCTTGGCACACATTTCCACAGTCACCCAAGCCTAACCCACATGCCACTATACTTACGCTATATACCAGTTCTAGATCTGTACAGTTAAGAGCACTCTCAGAAGCTTCGCGTACTCCCGTTAGGTTTGCTGTGCTGTGATTTGATCCTGCTTTACTGTAGTAATAGGAACTCCCAAGTGGTTTTTACCACTCGATGCCATATCCTTTAAAGATTTGATCTTGCTTTCTTGAAATCAGTAGTAATGTTTCCACTAGTTTTAGTGAGAAAGAACCAGGATTTTATTGGATTAAATATGAAACTATATTATGCTGGTGTTTAAATGCATATGTCATTGTATTTGGAAAGAGAGTGGTATACTTCAATGCATGTCTAATGTATTTTTTCTTTAATAGGGAAATTTGGGAACATTTTTTATTACTAATGTGAGGATAGTGTGGCATGCAAATATGAATGATAGCTTTAACGTCAGCATACCATATCTACAAATTGTAAGTATCTTAAATCATCCCTTTCCAAACTGAAATGTTCTATAACATGGGAAGAGTTCTAGTGTTCAGCTGATGAGCCCAGCTCACACTGAAATTAGTAATTCTCATGTCCTGAATGAGGGAAGAATTTGATCTCACAGCATCAACCACAATATATATATATTTGTGTCAGGATTAATTGGATGCTGTAATTTTTCTGACCAGATTAATTCATTGGCAGGTCCAGATGTCAAAGAATGAGCTTTATTTCTAATTTCCAAAATATTTTATATGATGCTGCATGCCAGCTGCACGTGCTGAGTTTTATGATTATTGATTTAGATATTCAGAAACAAATTGGTACCACTTTTGATGAGGCACTTTTCCTTGAGATTTCAGTGATTCAGATTTGTGATGGTAGGGAGTCCTGGTGTCCAACCTTCCAGAAGCAGTAATAATAGTACCATATAAGCATATAGCGTGTGTATGTGTGCATATATATACACATATATTTATAAGGTAATTCTAAGGCATTTTTTGATAAACTCTTTTTACCTCTTTACCATTCATTAGCGTTCAATAAAAATACGGGACTCAAAATTTGGCTTGGCAATGGTGATAGAGAGTTCTCAGCAGGTAAGAAGCTTTAATAGGCTTTTTTAGTTGGTTTCATTTAGATATGTATATGATTTTATAATTCTGAGTTGTTACAGTGCTACTTTAAAACTACCTTCAGTGTTCCTTTTTAGTAGTCTTTTGAACATAACTTTCCTGTATAGTTGAATACCAGTTCAAACCCATATTAATCTTATGGAAAACATTGCCCCTGTTTTTATTTTACCCTTGGTTTAAATGGCAGATTGAAAATACACGAAGATATCATAATACAAATTATATTTTATATCAGCAAATAGAAATTTGCTATCATTAAATTGTAAATTCACATCAAAGAGAACAAATTGATAATAAATATCTATTTTTTTCTTTTATTGTATAGAGTGGAGGATATGTACTTGGTTTTAAAATAGACCCTGTGGAGAAACTACAGGAAGCAGTGAAAGAAATTAATTCACTTCACAGAGTTTATTCAGCTAACCCTATTTTTGGAGTGGATTATGAAATGGAAGAAAAGGTATTCTCTTCATTTATTTGAAATTAGATGCAATATTGCACTGTCACCACTTATAAAATGCATTAAATATGTATTAAGTATATGGATTTATTTAATTCAGTGTTTTAATTTGCAGCCTCAACCTCTTGAAGCCCTAACAGTGGAGCAGGTTCAAGATGATGTGGAAATAGAATCTGATGAACAGACAGATGCTTTTGTGGTAAGCTCAACACAGAAAAAAAAATCTCTTATTGTTAATCAATTTTTTCAAAAAATTTAAATCTATTAAAGATAACCAACAAATGAACTGTTGATCTTTTAAGTACACCTGCATGTTATTTAATCAATATTCTTTACTAGAGGAATCTATTCTCTTAATTACTATCTTCAGAATAGTAGTAGCTATAAATGATAATTGTATGCAGGTCCTCAACACACTAACATAATGAATAGTTTGAAAAGAATCAGTATAATTTAATGAAATACATTACATTTAAAAAAAATCTTCCTTCTTTTGGAGCAGTGTTGTTTCTGTAGACTCAACAGTCATCTCAGATATATACTTGGAAGATTTTTAGAAAGGCAACAATAATTTTAAGTTACTCCTGACAACTTGCACATTACTGCCAATACTGCTTTGGAAAATTGTATTAGTTTTCATCCCAGCATTTCAGGAAAACATGCTTTCAAATGCAGTCGCCTGTCTGTGATCTTGATTAGCTATCTTCAGTAAGATCTGATCAATCCTGTGATCTGCAGGGACTGCACAAATAGAAGGTTTTTATATGCTAGTCTGATGCTTGCCAATTGATGTGTTTTCATAACTCCTCTCTGGAATCAGTACCCATATTACTTCTATCCTCTTTTCTTTTGCTATCATTATCAATTCAGATAAGCTTTTATCTCTCCTTCTTCTTTCCCTCCTCTTTCGTTTTTTTTCTCCTTTTTCCTTTTTTTTTCCCATAATTTTATTTCTGTCTTCAGCATGGTTGAAAATCTTTTCCTTAGAGATAGATTTTCTTTGTAATCTTGCTGCTTCTCACTTGGATTAAATAACTGTGCACTGTATACTCTAAAATAAAAACTGGAAGCTGTAAATGACTAGAGGGTGGTTGCCACAGGAAACAACCTGTGAGATGTAATGATTGGCTCCACTCCAGTATTCCATGATAGTTGAAGACTGTGATGCTGTTCTGTGGAGTTATGTATAGCTTGAATGAGATCCAGCTTCCCAGGAAAGTACTTCCGTCTTTGCGCTTCCCCAGAAAGGCAGTCAAAACAAGATCACGCTCTTTCTGATAAATACGATGATCTAAAAGTGGTGCTTGCTCAGAGACTCCGACAATTAAAGATATTTTCAGATATTGCTTCCCAATATCATTTTGAGGATGGAGAAGATTGTACTGCATTTGTAGATCACTGTGGAAAAACTTGGTCAATTGTTCAGTTAATCCATGATCGTTTCTTGTATTGGTTATGACATTAATTGAAATTTAAGACTGCTTTGAGACAAAGTTAGTTACGAAGTTACAGTTTTTGACATTGAATAATAAATGCTGCTGCCCATGACGCAGAAAATACTAGAATGATATCAGCAAGTCTTCATGTCAACATTGTTTTACTTGGTATTTCTCGGTATAGCAAATGTAACATAAAAATGTAACATTTTAAAATCTTTATTTGGTATGGTGGAAAATTCATGGATTTAGCATTACTTAGTGAAAAATAATTTACTCCTCAGAACTTTTTGATAAATTATTTAAACCTAGAAATTACTTTGATCTTCTTTATGAAAAAAAAAAAAAATTAACAGCTTTGTTAAAGAAAACTTACCAGAAACAATTTTATCACAATAAGTTATTAGCAGATATGTTTTTAAATGATTTTACCACATACAGTTTTTATCACAATAGGTTATTAGCAGATTTGTTTTTAAACTATTTTCTTCTTAAAGTTGTGAGGTTTTTGTTTGTTTGTTTTTCAGGCTTACTTTGCTGATGGTAACAAGGTAAGACCAACATTTTTGTATTGTCAAGTTTATGTTGTAGAAATCTTGATAATTTAATTAGTACAAAATCTGTACTGATTTATTTTCTCTCTCATAACTTTTCCATTCAAAAAAAGCAACATGATCGGGAACCTGTGTTTTCAGAAGAACTAGGGCTTGCGATAGAGAAATTGAAGGATGGATTCACGCTCCAGGGACTCTGGGAAGTAATAAGCTGATTTAGATTTTTCTGTTATATATTGCCTAAGCAATATATTTCATTGCCTAAGCAATGAAAGATTCACTGTTCTCTGATTTTGTCACATCTCTAGAAAATAATTGGAAAAAAAAATACAAGGGTAACAAGAGAAAGAGCATACCAAATTTAAAGAAGAGGCAAATATTATACAGTTTATAGTCAGCATATGTCATAAAAATATTACTCAAAATTTCTGTATGTGTAAAAGGTTTGTATTTTAGTGTTTCTATTAAAGTGTTAATTTGTTTTCATTTATTTATATGCATTGTACTCTTGTAATGATTATATCTAAATAATATTTCTATAACTTGTTTCATACTATGCAACAGAGAAATATAACACACAAAACTTTGTATCTAGGCATCCTAGTTGTATCATTGTAGCAGTGTTGTAGTACTGATAACTTTTTGACAAAATGCTGTATCAGTACAAATACAAGCTTTAATATTTATTAATTTTATGAACTGTTTATCACATAACATTCCAAATAGTTAATTTTAATCTAGATATTGCCATGCAGTTTTTTGCTTTTCTATTTTTTTGGTAAGAGCAAATTTTTCTAATCCTCCCTTAAAAAAAAAAAGCACATACATAAATAGCTTCTGCGTTTGACTCATTAGACTTTATGTTGTTTCGTGTTAGAGAGAAATGAGTCATTATTGTTTAAAGGAAGATGCAGCTGTTACAATTTCTAGTGAGACCTCTGCACTATTTTCTGTACGTGGAAAAAGTCAAATGAGTGATCTTCTCAGCTGTTGTTTTAGCAGCTGACTGTGCTAGTAAAGTCATTGTGATGTGGATATCACCGTTTGTTGGAAATCTTTCAAAGTGTATGTTTTAATTAAATCCTATCTATATTGAAAAGGTAGGAGAAAGATAGAATAAACTCTCAGAAAATTTTAGCAATGTTATACCTTGTTGAAGATTCTGTTTGCATTACATTCAAAGAAAATTTTATCATATAGCTAAGTGTTCTTGTATGGACAAAGCAGTTCATCAAAGCACATATTTTAAAAAACCTCAAATTTGTTTTGCTTCTGTATTATCATTGTTTTCATGAAAATCTAAATGTTTCCAGTCTGAATAGTAAAACCATCAACATGTGCATTTTTTTTTAAATCCACGTACTTTAAAAATTATTTATTTATAGTGTTTTAGTTTTGAGGTTTTTTTAATGTTTACTTTTTTGTAGTTAATGTTAAATAAAGTGTTTATTAAGTAATATGTAATGGATTATGTCTTTTGTTTTCTCATTTACTCTCTCAGTTTATTTTAACAGCAATTAACACTATTTCTGTGGGATTAAAAAGAATTGATAATGTCTACAGATTATGTGAAATAAAGAATAGTTGCTTTTAATGGAAAATGGAGTCTTCGTTTTAAATTACTTTTGAAAGTAGAACCTTATCTGAACAATTTATTTTTTATGCTTAATCGGTTTATTTGTAGCTTTCAAATAAATATAACAAATTGTGTATTAATATGATCACAATGAAATTGAAAGTCTTACCAGTGTCTGAAGACATCACTGATTTGATATGAGTATGTTTAAGGAAAAAAAAAAAAAAAGAAAAAAAAGTCTTTTTGCAACTTGTGTGAAACAGTGAGCAGACTCATTACATCTGACAATTAATAGCATTTCTATTCAGGAATTCTGTGTAATGTGTATTTCTAATCTTGTTTATAGCCATCTCACTGAGGTTCAGATTCTCGTGTCCTTACTCACGTCAAGTAGTTCCTTACATTGCAAGTTATCTCATTGATTCATCATAGAGAATGATGGCAAAACCAGGCCATAGTGACTAAAAGCAACAGTTGCTTCTTTCAGTCTTTGACAGCTGCAAGAGCAACTCTTTTTTTCCACACCATCCACCCTAAATTCCGACCTGTAAGAGCATGTACCTATATTTAGCTAGCAAGATTAAATTGCAAAGCCTTCAGGCTGGGCAAAGCACATTGATCTGCCTTTTTTACAGACAGACCTTTGTGCAGACAACAGCTAACGCTTTCTGCACCCCCCCCTTTCCAAGATTTTAGGAAAATGGATTCTCAGAGGGAACTCACTGAAGAACTCAGACTTTACCAATCCACCCTTCTTCAGGATGGCCTCAAGGAACTCCTGGAAGAGAAAAAGTTTATAGATTGCTCGCTGAAAGCTGGTGACCGAAGTCTGCCTTGCCACAGATTGATTCTGTCGGCTTGTAGCCCTTATTTTCGTGAGTACTTCTTATCTGAGCAAAATGAAGAGAAAAAGAAGGAGGTAGTTTTAGATAACGTTGACCCCAATGTCCTGGATATGATAGTCAAATACCTTTATTCTGCAAGTATTGATCTTAATGATTCTAACGTGCAAGATATTTTTGCTTTGGCCAGTCGTTTCCAGATCCCGTCTGTGTTCACTGTGTGTGTCTCCTACCTTCAGAAGAGGCTTGCTGTGGGTAACTGTCTGGCCATCCTTCGATTAGGGCTTCTGCTTGACTGTCCAAGACTTGCATTTTCTGCCCGTGATTTCGTCTCAGACCATTTTGTGCAGATTTGCAAAGAAGAAGACTTCATGCAGCTTGCCCCCCATGAACTTATCTCAATTATTACACCTGACAGCTTAAATGTAGAAAAAGAAGAACTGGTATTTGAAGCAGTAATGAGATGGGTCCGGACAGACAAGGAGAACAGAGTAAAGAGCCTGGGAGAAGTTTTTGACTGCATCCGGTTTCGTCTTATGCCAGAAAAATATTTCAAAGATCATGTTGAGAAGGATGATATAATTAAAAGCAACTCAGAACTTCAGAAAAAAATAAAGATAATCAAGGATGCTTATGCTGGAAAACTGCCTGACCCTAGCAAAAATACAGAAAAATCAAACAAGGGGGAAGTAAATGGTGATGTAGGAGATGAAGATTTACTCCCTGGGTACTTAAATGACCTTCCTCGGCATGGCATGTTTGTCAAAGACCTAATTCTTCTTGTTAATGACACTGCTGCGGTAGCTTATGATCCTCTTGAAAATGAATGCTACCTCGCAGCCCTGGCAGAGCAGATTCCCAGAAATCATTCCAGCATAGTCACCAAACAAAATCAGGTCTACATTGTTGGAGGACTGTATGTGGAAGAAGAGAACAAGGATCAGCCTTTCCAGTCATACTTCTTCCAGGTATATACTCGGTCATTATTTGTGCAATTTGTGTGTATTTGTGCTCTAAGAGTTACTGAAAGGTGCTTTCACTCTGTGCCAAACAGTTCGCATTTGACTTTAAATGTGTATTCCTTTCAGTTTTCACCTAGGCCAGTGCAGTCCATTCACTACAACTTCTCTCACATTAATTTTTAATATCTGCTTAAGTTAGGTGTGTTATGAGAAGTGAATTATCTAATCTCTGTCTATGGTCAATAGAAGGAATAATCTGTAGAGAATTATTTCTATAGAAATATACTATATACTAATATTTCTATAGAAAATATTAGCATATAGTATATTTCTATAGAAATATGCACTCAAACCAGAGGACTTGTATTTTCTCTTTCAAGATTTGGCTGAGGATGAGATTTCAGAAAAGAATAGTTAGAATATTTTACCGAGGCATCAGTTTTCATAGTTTAGGTTCCAGATTTTTATTGATAAAGATGTGTTAAGAGCAAGCCTAATGATTTGTACTCTATTTCATGAATTTCCATTAAATTCAATGAAAAGTTGAATGCTTAACAGGATTAGCTTTTTTAAAAATCTGAAATATTCTTATGGCAACAGTAACACCCATTTTTTAAATGTCATATTTTACTACAATTCCAGAAGTCATTCTGATACATTTATATTTTAAAACCTAAGGGTCCTCTAAAACTATACACACATACACACACACACACAGAAGGCTGTTTCCTTGGCAAAGTCAATGTCAATAAACTAAATACAGTGTTTCAACTGAGTGTAATTTTATATCTTTATAAATCTGTATAAATATAACTACTATGATAAATTTGAGATAGTCAGCAAAAATACAATTTGGTGTAATTATTACCATGAACTAATTTTGTTGTAGTGTTTTTAATAGCTGGCTATATGGTTTATTATTGGATACTAGAACTACTAGCTCATGCTGAACTCTCGCAACATGTACCTGGCTAAGTGACTGTTTAAGCACATTGGCCTAAAAAAAGTGAAAGTAGGTCCTTGTGAAGGAAAGCACAGCGCACAGCATGGGCAGAATTTTAAAGCCTTCATATATTGAACATAACAGCTATTAAGTGTTTATAGAGCTATGGCTTGCTGCTATGTTCAGACCCAATAAAAGAGTTAGTTTGAGAAATTTGGTATCCACACACGAGAGAAGCAGCACTTTGCTAGAGAGGAACTAGCACTGTGTCATGTCCTTAGGTAGGTGTGAATCACAAATCATTGAAGTGTACAAGCTGTAACATAAATATTCTTCCAATAGAAACAGTAGAAACAGTGTACTGATGTCAAAATTTATATAATCCAGAAGACAATAATCAAAATCTCAGTCCTTCTAGAATTCTGCATTCTAGAAAGCGGGGGGGTCAAAACACTAAACCTCCAGATTGACACTAGACATACTGTGATAGAATTGGTACTATGACATTTTCATAATCCTGCTTTATATATCTAAACTCATTTCCTGAAACCCTACTCTCCAGCCTGCCACCTCTCAAGTCTTGCTCATTGCTGCTACTGCACACAGTAAAACACCTGTGGCTAATGTTTCCTCTGAAATGTTAATGTGGTGGCATAAAGACTTTCACTTACCAATTCCTTTTCTGCACTTTTACCACTCCTGCTACTAATTTATTTGGTAGCAAAAAAAACCTAGGACAAAACGTGGCTACCACTGACTCAGAAATGTGTAACTAATTGTTTGTTGCCCTAGCAGAAGTAGAGCTGTATCGGGCCGTTCTTCACGAAACGTGCTGTGATCTTGTCCTCATAATCCCACCTAGATTTAGCTACCGAAATAACCTTATGTCCATGAACTAAATTCCACTGCTGCAAGTTATTATCTAGTGAGGGTGGTCTATGAAGTCTGGGAGATGCATTTTATCATAGAGATGTTGACTGAGGAACATAATTCTGGAGAAGAATAATCATTAAGCTAAACCCAGATTTGATTATTTTGAATGAACTTTCTCTCCTTTTCACACATTTGCACCCAAGCAAACTTACTTCTTCAGTGCTTCCTGTATGTTGTCAAGCAAATTTATATAAAATGGAAGAAAGAAAAAGTTCTTGTTAAATGTTACGGAGCATTTGGGTTCCGTTGAAAGTAAGTTCTCAGATCAAAACAAAAACTTTGTTGTATGGATTTTTTTTGTCCTGCTTTTTCTTTTTTTTTTTTGGTATTTTCACCATGCTGAATAGGAATTGAGACAACCTTGGGTGTACATCATTAGTGATATCTTTCCTATTAAGGCTGCCTTGTTTGCTTAGGAATCGAGTCTTTACTCACTGCACCTCCAGGGATCACAGGAGTGTTTAAGAATCTCTCCACACAATCTCTTTTGCCACATGTGGCATTTCATGCTTCCTGATCACCAAGAGGAAAGGTCTGAGGTGTCTGGCATTTCTCTTCATCCTAGTTAGTATAAACTGCTGAATTTATAGGTGTGGAATGGCAGTAGCTTCTGCTCCCTTCAGAGAGGGTAAGAACTATATGCTCTTCACAATGTATGATGGGAAACACTTAAGAATGGGGGAGCTTTAGCCAAGAAAAGGGAGTTTAAAAATGAGATCAAAGCAGCAAACACTTTGAGGGGGATGCAGAGATGTATGATGCTCTACTGAGTCTCCATGAAGCACAGGTGGATAGAAGTTGTCACTCCTTACCTGAACTGATAGACAGGTAGGTAGTTCAGACACTGAGTGCCTCTACCTTTTTTTCTGTGGAGCAGTTTTCAATGTGTTGATTTTTACTGTTTGCCTTTCCTAACGCTTTCTGTTCTGGTACTCTTTCAGCTGGACAGCATTGCTGGTGAGTGGCTTGCCCTTCCTCCGCTGCCATCAGCCAGGTGTCTCTTTGGGCTGGGAGAATCAGACAACAAAATCTACGTAATCGCAGGCAAGGACCTTCGCACTGAGGAGTCTCTAGATTCAGTACTGTGCTATGACCCTGTGTATGTTTCATTACATAATTATGTCCACTGAGGACACATAAATAATTCATTTTTAGTTGAAAGAGCTAAAATTGTTGTCTTCCTTTTCCAGAGCAATAAAATGGGGTGAGGCCAAAAAGCTTCCCATCAAAGTATATGGCCATTCTACTATCTCAAATAATGGATTAATATATTCTCTTGGAGGAAAAACCGATGACAAGTGAGTCTCTCAAGTCTTTTAATGACAATTTCTATCAGTGATTGCTGCATTATAGATTATGTGTTCTCATGGACAAAAAAAAGGCATTTGCTTTATTTTTAGTATCTGTGCCAGAGATTTGGCAAAGGTCAACACATTATGTTGGACATCTGTTTATGACATGGTGACTTCTGATATGCCTTCAGCTTCACTCTGGTACTGGTCTGCAATGCACATGACCCTTCTAAGCCAAGGTCTTTATTTACAGTACATATACTGGACATATACTCTGTGTGTGTATACATATACATTTTTATATATATAGATAAGGTATAAAAAGAGCTAATAAATCTTCCTATGTGCACACTTAGCTGGGCTAAAGATAAAAAATTCTTGTGTCTTGGTGCTTGGAAGAGTTACTATTCAACATATTTTTTTAGCTTCTGGAAAAACATTCCTCCCCACTACATTTCTCCAATACCTTTCTTCCCCAGACCCACCTGAATGAAACACTGCAGGAAAAGGACATTGTTTTTCTCCTACAAGATACAGTGCAAATTAGTGCCTTGTGTCAGCAGCACTTAACATTTGATTTAGTTCTATGGATAGGACTATGTATTAGATCTGCCAAAGTCTTGTCCTTCCCCCTGTTGAGAGGATTTCATGGAATTGCCAAAAGTTTCACCAGAAATGATCACAAGTTTTCCTTTTTCTCCACAGGAAATGTACTAACAGAGTATTTGTGTACAATTCAAAGAAAGGAGACTGGAGAGATCTGGCTCCCATGAAAGTGGCTCGCTCAATGTTTGGGATAGCTATCCATAAGGGCAAGATTGTGATTGCAGGTGGTGTCACGGAAGAAGGCCTCACTGCAGCTGTTGAAGCTTTTGATCTGACTACCAATAAGTGAGTGAAATGTTCTAGCTATTTTTAAGCAAGTATTTTATCATCCAGACTTTCAGTATCTCTGAGATAAAAGTCACTAAGGTGTTCCCCCTATGGCAGTTAGTCTACATATACCTCTTTGGAACAACAGCAGTTCAAAAAGCCCTTTTTCCTTATCTCCAGAGATTCTTCCTCCTGCCATGCTTGTTTTTTATCCTAGCATAGTTCCCTGTAGAGCACATTTAGATCAAATAGCATACCCTTTTTTCTCCCTCTCTTCTCTCATTTACTTGCTTTCAGTCTGATTAGTTTTTCAATACACTTGGCCACACAGCCAACATAAACAATGTGCTGGCATAATGTGGGAGAAGTGGGAGAACTTCATCAATTTTACACAGTACTGGTGCTAAAAACAAAACCACAGCGTAAGAAATTAGGTACCCGGAGAGGACTAGCTGAACGTTCTTTGGGTACTATAAATTAAGAAATGAGTAATGAAGAAAATCAAAAGTTGAAAGCAGCTCACTTACTAGGTCATTATGGCCAGAGCACTTTGCAGTCAGCATCCGCAAATGATTATGATTTTCTCCCATCAGTATCTTTGTCTCATTTTCTACTTCAGTTTTCCTTTTTGCTTCTTATCCATCCTCACAGCTTGTTTGTACTCTCACTTAAAATAATGTCTGTAAAGCTTTATTCTAATAGCCCAGTTTCTAAAGTAGTCCTTAATATACCTCTAGTTTGTTTGCTAATAACCTCTTCTATCACCAACAAACACATTGCTTGTGTCGTCTTCACTGAAGAGCAGCACTGTATCCATCAACTTCATACCCACTCAAAAAAAAAAAAAAGTTAAAGGAGACCCGCTTATACAATTCTGTATTCTTATACAATACAAAAAATGAAATTTGGGGAAGGAGCAATGTTTCTAAAGCACATTACTGACTTTGGACTAGGAGATCTGTTAAAAAAAAAAAAAAAGGTCTCTGGTAGGGGATGTCATCATGGCATATATCTGTCACATAAAGACTTGTATTTACACACCAAATCCCTGCGGGGATAGAGAAACAGAAGTTACTGCTGATAAACCTCAGGAATCCTTTTTCTTACTGCTGAACAGTTTCACTCAAATGGTCCTTAGCACCTGCACTTATGTCATCTGCAGCTCTATTTTAGTGCATTCGGTTTGAAATATTTTTCATGTTTTTGATGGGAGTTTTTTTTTTTTTTTAGGTGGGAGCTTATGCCTGAATTTCCCCAAGAGAGAAGTTCTATCAGTTTAGTCACCTTAAGTGGATCTTTATATGCTATTGGAGGTTTTGCAATGATTCAGCTTGAAACTAAAGAATTTGCCCCCAGTGAAGTCACTGACATATGGAAGTAAGTTTAGCTTTGATTATACTTTTTTAATGGAAGGCTCTAAGTTACCTTTAGGTTTTTAGACATTGGAGAGTAAAATCCATATCTAAGTGATGATAGCAGTGTGAATCACCATGGCAAGAACACCCCTCTCCTGCTCCAGAAGACAGGAACATTCTCCTGTGGCACGATGCAGCATGTGGTTGCCTTTTGCAACACATGGATTATTCTCTATTTCATGTGTGTGAAGGAAGTGTCAAATTTCACGAAGCTCTGTTTTGACCTCATCTTGTTAAATGCAGGTATGACGACGAGAAGAAGGAATGGAGCGGCATATTGAAAGAGATCCGATACGCCACCGGAGCCTCCTGCCTCGCAACACGCTTAAATCTATTCAAGCTATCAAAACTGTAAATAAAATGCTGGAAAAATATGATATGGTGAGGGAGTTTTGATAGACTCTTCTGTTTTTTATGCATGAAAATATCCCCAAATTGTACAGGGTTTTGTAGGGGTGTACTAGTTAGTCACTTTGTCCAAGTCTTAATATAATTACTAACTAATCAATAAGAATTGAATTATTGCTGAAGTTTAAAAATCTGAAGAATTCTGACAAACATTTTTTAGAATAAAAAAATTCACTAAGAACTTGTGAACTTGCAAACTCTTGGGAATTAGTGATGAAAGTAGAATTCCTTACACCCAGACAAGCCAGGATATTGGAGGTTACTCTCCAATTTAAGATACTACAGAATTAATCAATTGTTAACTACCTATTATTGTATTTAAGTTCATTCTAACTGATGTTTGTATCTCCTGATCTCCCCCTTTAGCAATGTATGTAGATCCTGTATTCTTTAGGCTGATCTTAAAAATATTTTCATTAGACCCTTCTAAAAATAACTAATCTGATTTTGAAGTGCATATAGAAAACAAAGATATATTATGTAGCCTAAGAAACATCAATCTCCACTAAAACTGGATTCATGACTCAGCTATTAGCAAGAGAAAAAGTTACAAGGTTAATAGCTCTGGAGATTCACTTGCTGTGTCTCGGCTTCTAGTAAGAAGGATTTTCCTTTTTTTATGCTTTTGTACTTATTTCTAAAGCAAATATTTAACATAAACTTTTCTCAGAGATCTGAAAGCATTAACAAAGCATTAGTGAAATGCCTGAGAATAAATGATCATCAACAACTACCCATGGCAGGGAGCACTTTTTCACCTAATAAAGAACCGATGCATTTTTTTCATGTAAAAGCTTTTAACTAGTAACAATTAAACATTATTTTAAAAACTATAAATATATCATTCGGTGGTGTCATTTTTAGTGATCTGCAGCTTGTTGTCACTACCACAGTGCAAGGATACAGATTTCTTAGTAGAAGATTTGCCCAAAAATGTAAAAGCGCATTCAATTTTTTTGAAGTACAGCACACCTGCCATCTCTATAAATACCTCTTTAAAGCATTTCTCCTGTAAATAAAGTGGTCATCGTAAGTCTAGTGCAATATAATTACAATTGACACATAAGGAAACCTGGAAAAGAAACCAGTGCTGGCTGAACAGCAACTCTAGCTCTTGAATGACCATGTGCTTTGCCTTTGCAGAAAGAGGTAAGGCCAAGCCCAAGGCACAGCCAGTACAGTTTGGTTCTTAGTGGATGGGAGTACTTACTCTCTTGGCCTTCTTTACTCTTTTCTCCCTTAATAGAGACACCACCACCTTCTCATCCGCTCTTAGCATCCTTTCCTTGTCTCCAGGTAAACTCCTCATAGAGCTGGCTAACCATCTGCACTAGTACTCGCTGATTTCAATGAGCAAGAAAATGACTGCAAAGTAACAAAAGCAGCACATTTTATTGAAACACTCTTATTTTACATTTTGCTTTTTCAAGATAGATATACTTTCTGAATCCACTCGTAGCAAATTTTAATCCTTCCAGTGGTGAATACTCATAACTTTACCCATACATAACTTAAACATATCTGGCTTGGCACAGAGTGACACCTCAAAAGCAGTTCAATCATACAGCCATCCACCACTGCTTACTTCAGCTACAACCACTGCTTCCTTCCTTGCGCTCAACAGTTGCTACTTCAAGCCCGTCTCTACACAAGCAGGATGGTGCAGAGACAAGTCTGACTTTCAGCCCAAGTTCTGCGACCCTCATATATGCATGATTGTCTTCTCTGTTCTCCCCGGGATATAAGGAGCCTTCTATGTGCTGTGCCTTCAAAACCAGCTCCTCAAAGCACTCTTCCATTCTTCCTCTTCTACACAAACAACCCTCTTGGAGCACATGGTAATTTGACCAAAAGCACCATCACCATAAGAAAATAACTGTCTTCTGTAGCTTTTTCACAGGAACCCAAGAAACGTGAAGACTGCCTTAACAGGAAAATGCCCTGCAGCTACTGTTAGTCATGTCTTTTTTTTTTTTCCTTCTGGCTTCCTCAGTGAATTGATTCATATTTCATTAATAAAAATATTTTCTATTATGGGCTAGTGAAAAACAATCAAAACAAGTGACGAGCACCTGCATGGTGGTCGATTCAGAGATGTAGTCACTTTCCTCTGAGAAGCTTCAAGGCATGTGGCATTTCAGGGAACGGCTACTGCTTATACACAGATGGCAAAAGAACATATAGGCATTGTGTGTGTGAAAGAGATGGGCACAGCTGACAGTCATCATGAGGTAACAGAAACTGTAGTCACAACCTGACAGCTTCTGAAAAAGGGCCACTGTACAACAGCAGACTCTACAATGAACATTCTCCTGGCTATTCCACTTCTTCCTTTCACATCCCTGTCTCCTAAGCACCCTGATACAAGCCCTGGCTCAGCATTATCACAAGCAGCCCAGACACCAAGAGATGGTTTTGAGACAGGAGAAATAAAACCACGAGTAACCAAGGCCGTCTCTGAAGATTTATCTTGATTCCTGCTTTTAATTTTCAGCCTAATTTTGGTCTTTAGTACACTGTCTTAGTCATAGGACAGACATATCATTTCTTTTATTTTTATTAGCCACAAGGTAGTCCAATGCATACTGCTGCACTAGCAACTTTCACCAAGTATCAGTCCCTAAGTAAGCACATTGTCTGACACGAGGATGTTTCTTCCTTGTCTTGCATAAATCCTTCATTTACATAAACCCTTCCCTAGTTATGCTTTTCAAGTCACATTTAACTGGAACACAGGGTGTTTTAAGAGTCAGTGTAGCTGCCAAACCTCTGGGACTAATTCACCTTCTGGGTATGCAGAGCTGTTTCATAAAGCTCCAGCTGTTAGTGCTTTTGCACACACCACATGCCCAGGCAGGCAAGGCAAGCAGCTGGGGGCTCCTCAGCACCAAACACCACAATAATTCCCAGTCTCTCTTGTGGAAGATGGCACCAAAACAGCTGCAGAAACCATCATGTTCTTGGTAAACTTACATTTCGAATTTCTTGGTTTCACAGTATGAAGATACAAAGATAAGATGTTTTGTTGCTGTTGCGTGTTTTGTCACATTCTGAAGGACACGTAATTTCCAGTGTATCTGCTGCCTTCTTCTGCACATTTTAGTATTTCCAACATTTTGCTTGGATATGTGTATATTTGACCAAGTGTTCATGCTTTTACCCCAATTCAGCAGATAATAATGTCATTTTATGGCAGCATTGTCACAGACCCATGTACTTAAAGTAATGCTGCCAGAGATTTTAAGCATCCTTATTGCATTTTTATGAATCACTATGACTTGCCTTTTACAATTTCTAGCAAATTTAGGATTACATCTCTTGATACCTGATGCCCTGTGCAAGCCTTGGTCCAGCTGACTCCTAAAGAGATTTTGGAAATTACCTATTTTAGGGTTGCAAGAAGATAAACTGATTACATGTCTTCAGCATCACTGTGTTTCATAGAGATGCTTTTTCAGATATTCCAGCTGTGCTTCTTTTGTTGACAGTACCATAGAATTCCATTCAAAGTGAGGAATCTGCAGACAAAGTCATATAATCTTAATGTTACTATTGTCTGACATAAGGCACAAAACAGCTTACAGCTGAGAAAGGCTCTTTGATACCTATTATTGTCCACTTTTAAAATATTTTATCATCTGTGTTCCTTCTAAAATCTAGACTTACTGTTATACTTGAAAGATTCAATTCTCCATCTTCCTCTGCCCAAAAAGCTGTAATAGTTGCAGAGAAGCAAAGCAGATACCCATGCAGCACAAGCTGTGACAAACCCCAACCCTCTCCCAGCTGAGGTACTTTGAAATCCAAATCCAGAGAAAACTTCCAGATCAGTAGAGCTTACCTTGTTAATTGGAATATTGAAATGGAAACAGTCTATCAGAAGCATAACATTTAGTGTCAGAGAACATGAGAGAGGATGTTATGGAAAAAAAAAAAAAACGACCAACCAAAAACCCTTAGGCTTAACAAAGAATTCTGTTAAAACTAGAGTAGGAGACGCACTAACTACGTATATTGCATTTAACAGCCTCCATTGCTCAGCTGTGTCTACACTGGAGGGTTCTGGCTGCTGTCTTCCCTGTCACAGTACTACTGCTTTAGCATCCATATCCACCTTGCATAAATAGTTCAATGTACCACTTCAGTGGCTAGTTCAGTGTATGTACCACTTTTTTCTAGTATCAAAACCTTTTGGTGATGTGAACTGAAATTCCTCCTTCACCCTTTCCCCTTTACTCAGGCTATGTGGAGATTTTGAATATGCTGCAATAAGGTAATTCTAAGATATTCTGACTTTAGTTTGTTGCAGATGCTTTTAGTGAAGGTACAAGCTCTGTAGCGCTTGCATCACTTTGAGAACAGCTTGAAAATCCGCTCTGCCAATCCAAATTTGCTCTTGCCCAGCAGGAACTTTTAACTACTGTAAGAAAATTATCTTTAAGAATCTGTGTCAAGGAAATTGCATCAGTTTTTACCATACCTTGGTGACTCCTCACCTGAACTACTCGATACCCCAACATTTCCAGGTGTCGTTTTTTTACTGCAGATTCTCCTTTCACGTGATGTGAATCCTTGCTAAAGGCTTTTGGATCGAGAAATTCCAAGGCAATTCTGCAAAAAATAAAAATGTGTTTAGTTTAGGTTTTCCCTAAATATGAAAAAATGGTATTTCTATCTCAGTATTGATAGTTGCAGTGAAGTTATCATTAGATACACATCACAACTCCCAGGAAAAGAAATATTAAACAACGCACTGAAACTAGACAAGCAATTTTCCCCTCACAATTATCTACAGATGCCGGTTCAGAAAAGCACGTCCTTCATGTATCTGCATTTGGTTCAAACAGCAAAACCAACTTAACTAGCATTTTCCAGGCATCATTTGAAAAGGTAGGAGGCAAAACGGTATTTCCACCTCATGAAATGAGATGTCAAGAAGTCTCCTCCTAACTGAGGAGGCTAAACCTCATAAAGAGTTTGGAAAAAAAAAAAACAGAAAAATAAATACAGGCTGCAACAATGACTTAGGACATAAGCATCAACAACGTGGTCTAAACTCAAAATGTAGTTAACATGTTAACCTCTGAGCGCCTGGTGGGAGAGCAGTGTCCTTGATGCCACGTTTTGAATGTATTCCCTCCATATCACCCAAAAGTATATTCTGAGACATATACGAAAGAGGCCTTTTATTTTTATCCAGAATGCATTCAAAATCTGCGAAAAAAAAAAACACAACAAAAATCAAGTATGCTGTTAAAAACAGAAAATGAATGTGATCTGTATAGTGCTTTATTAAAAAAAAATAAAAAGATAATGATAGAGATACCCAACTTTTTTAAAAAATCATTGTTTAGACTGTATTTTACACAAATTGTCAAAATTTATTATTTGTGATACCTTGTGACCTTAGTAGCTGCATCCTCAGGTGCATTCTAACCTTAGTGGTAATGGTAGGACAAGTCTCTATCGATCTTTACAGGGTTACCTGCTCACCTATTTCATAGCAGTATGGTGTGAGAACAGATATTTTTAGGTAATTGCTTCCTCCTAAGATCTCTGTCAGCATCCGGTGAACATGCCTCAGTGAATTTATTCTTCTACTACCTACAAAGATAAAATAAACAGTTCATGCATCAACACTTCTATAGCTGAAGTTCTGAAGTAGTAATTAGTGACATTTTTGACAGACAGCCTACTAGATTAAAGTTTTTCCACATATACCTGGTGTTATTTGACCACAAATGTAGAGACCACGTGAACAACTTTGAGATGGAAAGTGGCAGATGTCCACTACGCACAAACTACCAGTTATTTATGGTGACAGGAAAAGACAGAAGTAGAGCAAATTTTGCCCAGCTACACTCATGTAAATCACAACTTCCATCCCTAGACATTTCTCCATTCACATGCCAGAAACAACACTATTTTCAAGTTTCACCTGTTGGATTTTGTTTGCTTTTAATCACGCTTAGATTGTTAAAAATGTGTATTTAGTAATTGAACATTTATTACATTTATATTGCACTATCTGCTGCTTATCTATTACAGACTGCTTCATACACTGCTCTGCAAGCTATCTTCAGTCTCAGAGATAAAGTGGCTGAGTTTGATGGATATCAGAGTAGTTCCAGAAAAATAAACAGAGGAGATTCTGGGCTTGCAGCCGCTGGATTTTCTGAACAAATCACTGCCTGAAAAATCTCAGCTACTTCACTCATGACACTGAACATTAGACCACTAGCCTATTTCTCTGTCCCTCAGTCTTGATTCTTCTGAGGCAGATGACAAGTCGAAAAGAATGCAACAAGAGTGCTCACGCTGAAAGATTTAAGTGAAATGTTCAGTCTTTTAAATGAAGCAGGCATCAGGGATCTATTCTGAAAACACAGCACCTTAACCAACTGACAATCCTAATGATCCTGTTCTTGCCTCTCCATTCACCATGCCATACACGCTGTCCCCATGTATTTAAATTGTGAGTATTTTTTCTGTAGAAATTTCCCCCACACACATTAATTCTCACAAAAAAAGCTTTACTACCACATTACTAGGCAGGGGCATTTTCCAGGAACACATTCTCCATGGATGGTAGGGTATGTCTGAGGTGCTGTGTGTGCTAGTGTTGGTATTTCATTGTTAGCACAAATGAAGTGCCTAGCAGATTGCTGTATCTAGACTACTGCTAGTAAAGGGGGGTGCTTTTCCTCGCCTAATTATTTACCTTTAAACAAGACATGCTGGCAATAGTGCTCGTGAAACCATGGGATGTGAAACTCAGGGCATTCCAGGCAGACTGCTCTGTTCAGCTTCATGAGGCACGCGCGGACCTTCTGCTTTGAGGTATCAGGCAGGACTGAGTTAAACAAAAGAAGCTGTGAGCTGAAATGTGGCAAATCCATACACCAGGCAAAATTGTTACCTCCGAATTCTTTACTAGACATATAGCCACCTCTATAGCATAGCCTTTATTAACTTCATGTGAGGAATCTTGAAAAGAATCTCAAAAACCCAAAAAAAGCCAGTTTTACTCAATGTTAAGAACAGAAAGATAGGCAAAATGAGCAATTTAAACCAACTTCTATCATTCATCTGGCAACAGTACATTGATTGCAAACAACACACACATCGAGAAGAAGGGAACCAAAATTTGAAGCAAACACTCCTATTTAAAGAGCAAGGAGACTGGTGGGACTCAGTTTATAAATACTGAGAATACAAAATAGAATTAATTTTGAATGGACTTCTCTCATCTGGAAACATCATCTGTAGCATATGTCAGTATTTTTAAAACAAAGCACAAGTTTTCGCCCATTGCTTCCCTCTTAGCACTCAAAAAATGACTGGATTTCTACAGAAGAATCTTTCCAGGAGTCAATTACTACAATAGCATAATTCTACTATTCCACTTCTCAATCACATATAGGTCCTATCTCCATTTTTATGCTACATACTACATAATTGAAATCATCAGAGAGCTAGACACTGACCTTCAAGCTCAGCATCCAATTTACTTAGGAAAGAGACATTAAATATCATCTTTATCAGAACTGGAGGGAAGTAGCCAGCCACTGCCAAAATGTGGCCAAGCAGCACCAAGTAGTGGCTTTCAAAACAACCTGTAGAAAACAAACACGATTATCTATTAACAAATCATGTCAACATGAAAGGACTTGCCATGTTCTCCCCTCGCCCTGCAACTCATCCAAGTTTCTCTCTTTATGCACTAAATGGACATAAAGAACTTTGGTTTATAATGTAAAATTAGAAGCAGGATGGAGGAATTCTACTAGACATACCTATGCACAGCTGCAGCAAGGTGTAAAGTAACCCTTCCCAGTTCTTGCAAGAGGGAATGAGTTAGCCCTAAAAAAAGGACAACCCTACAAAATTTTAGGAGCCAGTAAATTTTCATGCAGTTTTCCAAGGCTGTATCATCAGTCAAACCAATGTTGAGTCTCTGTTCATTTTACCTCTGCATTTTTTTTATGATCAATCATAAAATGTGTACTCTTTCCAAATGATGATTCCCTAGGTAACACTGCAACAATTATTTCCAATGGCAGTGTAGCCAATTAAAGAGAATTCAATTAAGAGGTCAGGATACCTTGCTAGTAGTCCCTTATCAACAGTATTCCATTTCTAAAACTGAAGTTTGAAAACTCAACAGAAACATACACTGAATCTTCAGACCAGCAATGTAACATAAAAACACAATTTTTTACTTTGCTTAACAAAATATCATTCTACTCCCATTTTTGTCACTACCAATAATATCTTTCAGTGATACTCATTTATTTGATATCATCATATCATTAGCTAAGGCACTTACTCAAGTTAAGCATAAGATGTTGGATGCAATTCTCAAAGAACTCTTCATTGGCAGGAGAGTCATAGTTCAGAATAGAGAAAAGGTAGAGGATAAAATATATTTCAAATGGATGGATCTGTAATAAGAAATGTTCTAAATTAAGCCACTACAAAATATTTTAATATTCCATTAAAATAGAAAGGGTTTATAAACTTCACACTAGATGAATATTTTTGATTTTTTTCTCTCATTTCTTAGATTCCTCTGGACCAAAATATACATAAAATACTCTCCCACAAATCATTACACTGCAGACATTGTTAACAATTAAAATCTGATATAGAAGATTTAAATGCTATTGTATGCTTAGATTTCAACAAACTCTCAACAAGTTTGCCCATTATACACTCTCAAGGAAACTAAATTGTTATAGGATAATATAGCAGGTCTGCTATATAAATACCAGACTAAAAGAGAGGAAAAAGATATAAAGAAAATACAGTAATTTCTACCTTGGACACAAATTATTGGGGAGATCCCCACAAAAATGGCTGCTGTGAAAATATATAATATGTGATACAATTTTATAGTTAAAACACACATATACACATATATATGACCAAACATAAAACTGAATGCCAAGGATTATGATTTGACCTTCTAACACTGAGTGACAGAATAATAAAAAAGGAATAAAGAGAAGTGCAAAATAATATATATAGAAGAACAGTTTGAACATATATAAACAGACGAACTCCAAATCAGCTGCACTGAAGAAATTTCTCAAAAATTTCTTAACTGCTCTGTACTTTTCAGCAAAATCCTCACTGTCACTTAAAATGGTGAGTTCAAGAAAATAAAACCCTCCAGTTAAAAACATTAAAGTCAATATATCTGGAGTTTGAATCCTATTTCATTCACCACTAACCTGTTTTTTTGAATAACTTGAAGAATAAGAAAAAACTACAATACCTTGTCTATATTTTGGAGAGTCACAGAAGCTATTCTGTCAAGTAATGGAACACAGCGGTGGTTTGCTTTTATAAGAAAAAAAGAAAACTGTAGCACATTTGCCCGTGTTACTTGGTCGAGCAAGCGCTGACAGGCGGACATAGTTTCTTCACAGAGGACTTCTTCAAACCATCCTCCTCTGTTCACGTACGTGAGTTCCTCTAGCAGCAGGTCCAAGCTGTTGGTGCCCCGGAGTCGCCGAGAGCCCCAGTGGTTGAGTTCCTGCAGAAGCCCAGCACACAGCTCCGAAAGGCTCTGCCCCGGCGGCTGCCCGTAGTGATTCCATCGGACAAGGGCTGCAGCGATGCTGTTCAAATCGGGGAGCCTGCACTGGGGCAGGACCGCAGCTGCTCTCGTTAAAAGGACTTCCTCCACCTGAGTGGAAGGAAGCATGGCCACAACACGAATTATTGCAGCAATATCAGCAGGTATGACACTAGATACTAAAAAACTGGAAGAGAGACAGAAATAAAAACAGAATATCAGTTTTGGCAAAAGTGGAAGCTTTTAAAAAAAAATAAAATAAAATAAATGATGCACACAAAAATTGTATTCGAGAAGTCAGAGGTGCACATCGTCCCAGACAAGATGTAAGAAGTGAACGACATAGTTGGCATCTGTGTGAACTTCTACTACCAGCTTTTTTGAATTCTGAAATTTTTTTTTTCCTTCTAATTAATTCAAAATTATGCTATGCCAGAGCATAGGCAGCATCTTAAGCCAGCTGGTGATGCTTCAAGTGCTATTGATGAAACACACAAGTCTAACAAGGGCAGATTCTGAATCTGGTTTCCATGTAATTTCAGTGACTGGCAAATGAACTTTTTCTCTGCAAGAGACCTGGATGCTGCCTGAGAAATACAAAGGCACATGAACAAAACAAGATGTTCAGCAGAGGACTGCTCTCCTACAAGTGGTGCAGCAGCAGCAGCAGGAGTCATGGCAGATCTCCATTCTATGACTCCTGAGGTGGCTTCTTCTCAGAGTGGCAGCTGTTCAACCCTGAGGCCCATCTAGAAAGTTTTTCAGTCAAAAGTAGAATATTTCTGCTTTGTACTTTCAATTGTTCTGACTATGCATCCTATTGCATATTTGCTACCTGTTCCTTCAAAAATCAAAGTCATTAACATGTATCCTCCCTATAAAATAATGATCAAAATTACCTGTTGAATGTCATTATATTGCAATAAGAAATGAATCTATTCGAAAAGTTATCATATTTATTAGCTGATACTTCCAGGTTACAGACAAGACCATAACCTTGTCCTATCCTCTGCTTTATGTTTAATAGAATCAAACTGGTTTAACAATTTGCTACTTCTTTGTATTTTACAGAAACAAAACAATACAATTTAACATCTCATTATTTAAAACATCAAGCAAACAATCAATTAATACTTAAACTAACCAGGCAATTACTTTACCAAATAGACACACTTACCCAAACAACAACTTTTTTAGTTTGCCAAACAGCTCCAGATCGTGGCAACCCAGCAATACCAAGTACTGCGTTAGCTTTACCAATTGTATTGTATGATAGTTATCCAAATGTTTGTGCAGAATAGAAGCCACTCTGAATAGAAACACGAAAAGACAGTATTACTACACTAATGTGGAAGACATTACTAAGTGCAATCCCTCACATGAAGAAGAGCTGTCCCACAGTGCCTGGTACCCAAGTGGGGGGCTGAATACACCTGGGCCCCACTCCATCCCAGCCATTTTGATGTCATTCTGTTGCTACAGCTAAGTCGGGCTAAAACTGGAAGAAAGGGCTAGATGTACAGGAAGAGGCAGCATTTTTTTCTTTGACTTTCTTCAGCTAGCAAGGTTCAAGAAGAAAAAGCATGAATTCACCTGTCTTCCCAACAACACCACACTCCTGCTTTTTTTCCCAAGGATCTGTTTGGTTCATGCAGCTACAACACGGAGTTGTTGCCCACAAACTGCATCAAACTCGGCTGCATCTGTGTCAAATCTGATGGCAGTCTTTCAGATCCAAAACCTGAACTGCTTTTCCCTTAAGTATATAAGCTATTACCTCTCTATAAACCATGCTCAATTAAAAACTGCAGGAAATTTGGCACAAATTCTTACTTAAAGAAGCAATACCTATTATTTTAAAATAGGGTGTGATACTCACGAAGAAACAATTAGCGATAGTAACAGGATTTGCTAGATGGGATAGGGCGACTTACTACCTTCTCATTTGTCTCTTTAGTTAACACTAACAAATTCAGTAAAACCAGCGCTGCATTCACTCAAATAGGACCAGGCATTGGTAAATAAACTTAAGAACTATATTATACTATCCTGGTGAGACAGAATTGCCTTTCTGTGACAATTTCTGAATTGCTACAAACACTTCTGGTTGGATGGGATATTCTAAAGTCTGTAACTAGTTATATACAGAGTGTATGTCTATGAGAGACAGAACTGCCTACCCCTCACAGTCAGTTTATTGGATATTACGGTCTTCCATACTAAATGGAAGTAGTTTACCTAGAGAAAGCAATTTTCTACTAGTATCAAAAATTACTTTTGGAGTAGATGAGAATTTTTACATTTCATCTTCTGCATTGTCTTTAGTATTACTAATACTTGATAACTGCTAAGTTCTTCTGCCATGCTCACTGCAGTAGCCAGCAACCTAAAGAGGAAAATAAAATACACATTTTACAAAGAAAAGCCGTTGATGATCTGCATCTGTTGACAATGCAAACATTGTAGCAATTTTCTTTGTCTAGAAAAGGAGGAAAAGTACCAACGCAAATACTTCATGAAATTTGGGAAAACAGGTTCCCCCCAAAACAGAGACATCTGTTCCGTGTGCGCTTTTTCTGACCAACTGTTTTGACCTTGTTGCACAGGTTAAGACGAAAATGCCTAAGAACAGTTTGTGTTGCTCTGATGATAGAAATGAGGGACCCAAACACTTGTGCAAATAAACAAAAAAAATGAAGGTACTCCAAGACATCAAACAATCCACCAATTAACAGGCTATACATAGCAATCAAACACAAACTGAACTGATTCTGGGGAAAAAAAAAGTAAGGCTGATGATTTATTCTGCCTTATATTTACAAAAACAAAAACAACAAAAAAACACTTTTGGAACTAGGCAAGGCAAAACCATAAGGCAAAGCCATAACTTGCATAACTGAAGAGCACTAAAGTGGAGCTAATGCAATACTTATGGTTAGTCATATTTTCTATTTTTCTTCATAACTACTACAGTAAGTTGCGACTAAAACTGCAGACCACATCCTACAATAGATCAGAAAGGCCCATAAGTAACACTAGCCCAGAAAAGGATTTTCTGGCTGGTGCAAAGAAAAACAAGCAGAGTCAGAGCTGCCACTCAGTACCATGCTCTAGCTGCTAACCGAATCTCGAAGGGTTCAGTGCACGAATGGGCTGAACCATAAATAAATAAAAACATGACTACATTTACCTTTCTCTTACCTTGGGTCCTGCCATAGGCCCAAGAGCAAAAAATAATTTTGTAAAAGTTTCAGGATCATTGTAATCATCTATAGATTTGGACAGCAACTGTTTAGTAATCAAGCGAAATTCAGCATTGTCAAAACCAAGCTGCTCATATAGTCCAAAAATAAGACAAATATTGTGTATATCAAGATGGCAGGCACTTTTAAGAAAAATCTTGTTGCATTTTTCTAGCAATGGACGATGCGCCAGTTTAACATTTTGAAGAAACTGTACTATTCTCCTGGCATAGTTGAAGTGGTCTTCATCCTCTGCCCCCAAGAGCTCTTCGGCCTTCTGTATCAGTCGATCTCGAAAACTCAGTGAGATAACATCAGATATGCTGATCATCAAAACTGACAAGATCCTTAAAAAAAAAAAATCACACTTACACACCGAACACTCAGTATTAGGTTTTAGTTTCTTAAATAAATTAGCCGAAGTAGGTGCATTAGTGAAGGTGTTACTAACTTCTGTGTCAAGAGAAATTTTAGTTCCAACGTAGAAAATACAGCCGTGCAGAAAACACTTGTCCTACTGAAGCCAAAATTCCACTTTCAGACAATTTCTAAAGCAATTGGGGTTTTTCTGCTACTACTTACAAAGTTTTATGTGATGAAAGTGTTTGCCTGAGGCAAGTCTCTCATTCAAATCTGTTAAAAGATCTTTCATGTTCAGTGAAAAATAAAGCTAAAGAAAATTCAATTTCACAATTCTCACGAAAGAGAATTGAGAGAAGAAACATCAGCATTCTTGAAGAAAATCTGCCTTCATAAGGAATTAATGGGGGAAAAATGATGACCAATTCTGCAAGGAAATGCAGCCCCATTTAATGACTATTTCATAAGCAGGATCCTCCTCCTTCAACCCTCTGCTGGGACTAACGGTGCTGTTTAAAGCAACAAAAGACGGCAGCCTTTGCTATAATGGCCCAGGGAGAACACAAGCAAGGAGAGAAAAAAAAAAGAAAGAAAAAAGAAAAAAAAGCTTGGACTTTTTGCACTGGGATCTGATTTTAAGTAATTTTAAAATGCTTTGAAGATAAATAAAAATAACATTGTTTTGAGACTGTTCACTGCTATTCACAGTAGTAAACTAAATCCACATCAGGGCAGAGAAACTACTAATGTCATGGAAAAAAGACATTTTCTGGTGAGTCGGTAGCATCTAACTTCTCAAAAAAGCCCAGGTAAAATTTAGAATCAGGACAAAGTAGTACCTGATACTTTTTCCCATTCTAAGCAGACCATTATTTTTAAAATAGTTCTGAAAACAGTTATACAGAAGTTCATCCCAAAATAATTGGGAAAATGCATTCTCCTGAATGAATTCATCCATGAAAGTCAATATCCTTATGCAAATCATCCCTCTCCCACAAACTCTGAATTGAAGAAAAACAACCTCCAGTTGAGAAAAGGTGAAGTGTTTAGTGAGCACACCCCAGTAATTATGGCATGTTGCTTCTCCACTTACCTTATATCATGTATAGAATCTAGTTTCGTGTCCACAATATGAGCTATTTTGCCAAGTAGGGGACTAAAATACATGTGCTGCTTGTATAAACACAGTGCAAATTTAGACAGAGCAGGGAGACTAAGTCTGTTAAGACATCAAATAGAGAAAGATACTGTGTTTATTTCCTAATTTTAGTGAATACCTAAAAGCAAAAATTTAATACAATTACATATCAGATAACATTATATTCAAATTACAAAATATGGAAACAAAATATCAATACATGGCAATACTTCAGACTTTGCCAAAGTATGTGGTAATGTACAAGGCCACTACTTAAACAACTACAGCTTTTCTGTCAAAGTATACTGGGTGTACAGAGCTTTGCAAACCACAGATGTTGTTTGGTTTAGCCAGATCATTGTAAGAAAATCTAGAGCAATTATCAAGCCATAAACTGTGAAACAGCTAAAATGAATGTGAGCAATTTATTATCTGAACATAATTTTGTGTTCAGATTAGACTGAATTTATTTACTTGTCAATTTGTCCCAGCTGTTAAGCTAGGACAGGCAATTCTGTGATGCTAGTGACAAAACTGACACTAGATCCTGATGTCAATCAGAGATCAAAGAACTGATATTACAATATCAAAAAATAGTAGTACACTATGGGAAAATGCTGAGGTTTTAACATATTATTTTTACTAAAAATAAGATGAGCAAGGAGTCCTAATTGCCATTTAAGAGTAGTACACCACAAACTGTGTACTAAAATAAAATTATAGTTGATAGAACTTCCAACTTACTTCAAACACATACATCTATAAAGATATTGTATTTTAAAATCTTAAAGCGTCAGTTCTCCATTGTAACACTATTCAAACTTTATCTTGAACATCTGTGCCCGAAACACCTTCAATATTCAAGGCATTCACCTTAAAAAAAAATACTCATAAAACCCTTCAAAAATACAACTGATACTTAAAATACATACAAAATGTTTAAAAACACTTGTAAATACTCTTTGAAAACTCTTAAGTAAAGCAACTACACTTGCAATTTACAGCTTTCAAAAAGGATAGCAGCACAGCACTTGCCTTTCTAATCTTTTCCATGCTTCTGTAACAAGTGCTTCTGCTAGACAATCATGGTCTTCAACATTCAGCCTTCAGAACAGTCAAAGACAAAACAGTTTAAAAATTTTGCTTCTAAAGCTATAAAGAAACCATGACAGAGATAAATGTCCTTTTATTATTATACAGTTATACATTTCTATCACTCCCTCCATTCAAGACTGGTGTATCTAAAAACAGATTATAATAATTTGTGCATTAATAATCCAATCCCCACTGCAACTGCAAAACATTAACCATTTTGTATCTGGAAAACTGAGGCATGGGAAGCTAGGCAAGCTGACTTGCAAGCTGTCTGGGCCACCGTCACAGAACTGAAGCTCAGGGAAGACAATCTGCTTATGATCTGAATTTTGACTAGAAAGTCTTTTAGACTTCTTTTCAGATAAAAAATATAATGTTGCAGGAGGACTGCAAGCTAGCATGGGATTTAGCATTTTCACTGTAACATTTTCAGTTAAAAGTTTTCTTATTTAAGAAATGCCTCAACAATAGAGAAGTTAGCAGAAAACTTATTTATCAGATATTGCACTGAATAAGAGGGTTTAAACAGTACATTTTAAAAATATTTCGTTGAATTGACTTTTGATATTCAGCATAATACTACTTACCTCAGAATACTGTATAGGATGTCCACCACAACATCATTTTCCATACGCTCTACTTTGTTTTCTGCCAAAACGCGAAGGATAAAAAACTGGGAGTGATTTCTTATATAGTTGCTAGTCCTCAGTGGAAGTGGCTTCTTTTTCTGTAATTGCCACAGCACATTGAGTGCACTTCCCACGTGCTTTTCAGAAAGCCTGGCCTTGTTCTTTCCAATGAGACCAAACAGTTCATCTTCATGGGTGCAGCTATTTATCTGGCTTAGAAGCAAGTCACTGCTCAGAGCCCGAACTTGGCAATATCTTTGTGTGAGTAAACAAATCTGCCTCAAACAAACCATTTTGTTATGTTTACCAGATGTTTTTAAAGTGTCCAGAAAGATTCTTTCACTTTTCACAGTAAACTACGTTGATACAAAGTTGGGCATTTGAAAAACAGAAGTTTATTTTAAATTTTGTCCTGTATAGGTTCTGTATTATGAAGAATTCAGTTCTGATGTACCTGTAATGAGATTGAATAAAGGCAGTTAAAAACAGTCATAATTACTAGCTAAAAATCAATGGCTCTACTTCCTCATCTGTGGTCTGTCTGTCTTTGGGCACTGGGTATGTTTCTGACCATTTGCACAACTCGCTGGTGTCATGCACTGAGGAAAGCACTTAGGTTTTATAAAGAACCTCAGGCCTCATGCAAAGGCCTCACACGAGGCCTCCAAGGAATGTGATTGCCCATTTTGAAAGGAAAAATAATTCTACATTTGTTTGAAGGAGTCTTTTGTAAATAGCATTTAACCAGTAAACAGTCTTTCGCTATTGTCTTGTCAAGAAGACTTGGATAAAATCTGGAATTCCATTAAGAATGCCTAAAACAAACAAAAATGCTAACGACTAGCTTAAATAAGGCAGAGGTACTGGGGAAGGAAAGACTTACCAAGGTATCTTGTGCCAGACCCCGCGTGATAAATGACACGTAATTCCAACCACCAACAACTTGGGTTTCGGGACACACACAGACGAGTCCCCCAGGACTTAAAAGCACCCTTCCCCTTTGGACAATAAATCACAAATTACCTCCCCGTTTCGCCAATGAATTAAGGGCTCCCGTCGCGCGCCCACGCGCGCTCTCGGCGCGGAGCTCCCGGCACTTCCTGGTCGCCACCTGCTCCGAACCCACTTCCTGCGGGGCGCGTTTCCTTGCGCGCCGCTCCCGTTCTCGCTCCCGGTCCCGTTCCCGCTCCCGCCCTGCCAGGTGCCTCCAGCCGCTCGTGCTCACCACTCACCACGCTCCGCGGCTCG